TGATCCTAGGGCCACCATCAACCATGTTTTGTAACTTAATGGATTTCTAATCAACAGGGATACAATGTCAAAAAAACATAGAAGAGCAATAATGGCTGGAACTACTGCTATTATTATTTTAACAAGTAGATGTACGTTTGTTTGGATTACTATTAGGGCCAATACTATACAGGCCAGACAAAATATCTGCAAAAAAAGGAATTATAAGTGTTAATTTGAAATTAAACTATTCGATAAAGAGATTGCTGTTCAATATTTTTAACTCTATTTTGTAAAAATATTACTAACTTATACAGATTTTAAACGAAATACATGTCTTTTATAGTAATCACTAAAACAAATTACAATTCTACAGAAAATATCTTTAATATTTTATTACCTTTTGACTATAAATTTAATGTTATTTAAGTTACTATTATATTAAAACGTACATACCAGTTCTAGCCAACGCAAATAGTTAGATTTACAAGTAATTAAAAACTCAAAAAATCTTGGTGGATAATGCTGGTACATTAGTAAGAAAAAAATAACACTAATTTTCTTCTAAAAGTTAATTCTTGAAATATACATCTAAAATGACATTTTTACTTAGGCACATCTGTCACGCACAACGACTGAAAGAAAAAATTACGAAATGTCGCAATAATTCGGAATGTTTGTTATTTAAAGTTGGTAATAAGAAAATTAAAGAAATAATATTTTATATAATCTATAGGCCAGAGATTAGGGACATACTCTAGGCCATTGGTCTTGAATATGAATGACTACACCTAACACATACTTTGAATGGTCGCACTGCGCAGCTTTCTGAGTGCCTTTTAAAATGAGATAGAAAACTCCGCCATTTTGAACCCCTATTACGTGTTGCCTACATCTTGGCGCAATATTTTTAATAGGTGCGTTTTAATCATCCACTTCTGCTTCGGAATTGTCGGTTTTCTTGTTTTAATCTGACAGGTTAAAACGACTAAACCGACAATTCCGGAAGCAGAAGCGGATGATTAAAAGGCACCTGATATTTTGCTTGCTGCTGTCAGTGTCAGTGAATGTTATTTTTGAAGTCACAGTTTATTGCTAAAGAGTCAGTTAGCTCACTCGGACCAGTTGAAAGATTCAAAATAACATCCACTCCAGGGATACAAATTCAGGATACGCAGAAGACTGCTGTTTTATTATAGGCGGTTTTCATATATTGTATTATCCGAGTTGCACAGTGTATAAACTGAAACATTGAGATCAAAAGTGCTGACGCAGAGTGAGCGATCTGATTCTTTAGCTGTAAACTGTGTCACAGGGTTCAAAATGGCCGCGCCCTATGTTGGGCATGTCGAACCTCTCTCTTGCCTCGTATAGTAATCAAAGTATGTGGCTAATACCACATACTTTGATTTTCTTTTACTATACGGAGAATGGTCGCACTGCGCAGCTTTCTGAGTGCCTTTTGAAAGGAGATAGAAAACTCCGCCATTTTGAACCCTTATTACGTGTTGCCTACATCTTGGCGCAATATTTTTAATAGGTGCGTTTTAATCATCCGCTTCTGCTTCAGAATTGTCGGTTTTCTTGTTTTAATCTGACAGGTTAGAACGACTGAACCGACAATTCCGGAAGAAGCGGATGGTTAAAACGCACCTGATATTTTGCTTGCTGGTGTCAGTGTCAGTGAATATTATTTTTGGAGTCACAGTTTATTGCTAAAGAATCAGTTAGCTCACTCGGACCAGTTGAAAGTTTCAAAATAACATCCACTCCAGGGATACAAATTCAGGATACGCAGAAGACTGCTGTTTTATTATAGGCTGTTTTCATATATTGTATTATCCGAGTTGCACAGTGTATAAACTGAAACATTGAGATCAAAAGTGCTGACGCAGAGTGAGCGATCTGATTCTTTAGCTGTAAACTGTGTCACAGGGTTCAAAATGGCCGCGCCCTATGTTGGGCATGTCGAACCTCTCTCTTGCCTCGTATAGTAATCAAAGTATGTGGCTAATACCACATACTTTGATTTTCTTTTACTATACGGAGAATGGTCGCACTGCGCAGCTTTCTGAGTGCCTTTTGAAAGGAGATAGAAAACTCCGCCATTTTGAACCCTTATTACGTGTTGCCTACATCTTGGCGCAATATTTTTAATAGGTGCGTTTTAATCATCCGCTTCTGCTTCAGAATTGTCGGTTTTCTTGTTTTAATCTGACAGGTTAGAACGACTGAACCGACAATTCCGGAAGAAGCGGATGGTTAAAACGCACCTGATATTTTGCTTGCTGGTGTCAGTGTCAGTGAATATTATTTTTGGAGTCACAGTTTATTGCTAAAGAATCAGTTAGCTCACTCGGACCAGTTGAAAGTTTCAAAATAACATCCACTCCAGGGATACAAATTCAGGATACGCAGAAGACTGCTGTTTTATTATAGGCGGTTTTCATATATTGTATTATCCGAGTTGCACAGTGTATAAACTGAAACATTGAGATCAAAAGTGCTGACGCAGAGTGAGCGATCTGATTCTTTAGCTGTAAACTGTGTCACAGGGTTCAAAATGGCCGCGCCCTATGTTGGGCATGTCGAACCTCTCTCTTGCCTCGTATAGTAATCAAAGTATGTGGCTAATACCACATACTTTGATTTTCTTTTACTATACGGAGAATGGTCGCACTGCGCAGCTTTCTGAGTGCCTTTTGAAAGGAGATAGAAAACTCCGCCATTTTGAACCCTTATTACGTGTTGCCTACATCTTGGCGCAATATTTTTAATAGGTGCGTTTTAATCATCCGCTTCTGCTTCAGAATTGTCGGTTTTCTTGTTTTAATCTGACAGGTTAGAACGACTGAACCGACAATTCCGGAAGAAGCGGATGGTTAAAACGCACCTGATATTTTGCTTGCTGGTGTCAGTGTCAGTGAATATTATTTTTGGAGTCACAGTTTATTGCTAAAGAATCAGTTAGCTCACTCGGACCAGTTGAAAGTTTCAAAATAACATCCACTCCAGGGATACAAATTCAGGATACGCAGAAGACTGCTGTTTTATTATAGGCGGTTTTCATATATTGTATTATCCGAGTTGCACAGTGTATAAACTGAAACATTGAGATCAAAAGTGCTGACGCAGAGTGAGCGATCTGATTCTTTAGCTGTAAACTGTGTCACAGGGTTCAAAATGGCCGCGCCCTATGTTGGGCATGTCGAACCTCTCTCTTGCCTCGTATAGTAATCAAAGTATGTGGCTAATACCACATACTTTGATTTTCTTTTACTATACGGAGAATGGTCGCACTGCGCAGCTTTCTGAGTGCCTTTTGAAAGGAGATAGAAAACTCCGCCATTTTGAACCCTTATTACTTGTTGCCTACATCTTGGCGCAATATTTTTAATAGGTGCGTTTTAATCATCCGCTTCTGCTTCAGAATTGTCGGTTTTCTTGTTTTAATCTGACAGGTTAGAACGACTGAACCGACAATTCCGGAAGAAGCGGATGGTTAAAACGCACCTGATATTTTGCTTGCTGGTGTCAGTGTCAGTGAATATTATTTTTGGAGTCACAGTTTATTGCTAAAGAATCAGTTAGCTCACTCGGACCAGTTGAAAGTTTCAAAATAACATCCACTCCAGGGATACAAATTCAGGATACGCAGAAGACTGCTGTTTTATTATAGGCGGTTTTCATATATTGTATTATCCGAGTTGCACAGTGTATAAACTGAAACATTGAGATCAAAAGTGCTGACGCAGAGTGAGCGATCTGATTCTTTAGCTGTAAACTGTGTCACAGGGTTCAAAATGGCCGTGCCCTATGTTGGGCGTGTCGGACCCACTGATACAGATCAGTGGTCGGACCCACATACTTTGATTACTATACGAGGCAAGAGAGAGGTCCGACACGCCCAACATAGGGCGCGGCCATTTTAAACCCTGTGACACAGTTTACAGCTAAAGAATCAGATCGCTCACTCTGCGTCGGCACTTTTGATCTCAATGTTTCAGTTTATACACTGCGCAACTTGGATAATACAATATATGACAACCACCTATAATAAAACAGCAGTCTTCTGCGTATCCTGAATTTGTATCTCTGGAGTGGATGTTATTTTGGAACTTTCAATTGGTCCGCGTGAGCTAACTGATTCTTTAGGAATAAACTGTGACTTCAAAAATAATATATTCACTGACACTGACAGCAGCAAGCAAAATATCAGGTGCGTTTTAACCATCCGCTTCTTCCGGAATTGTCGGTTCAGTCGTTCTAACCTGTCAGATTAAAACAAGAAAACCGACAATTCTGAAGCAGAAGCGGATGATTAAAACGCACCTATTAAAAATATTGCGCCAAGATGTAGGCAACACGTAATAAGGGTTCAAAATGGCGGAGTTTTCTATCTCCTTTTAAAAGGCACTCAGAAAGCTGCGCAGTGCGACCATTCTTCGTATAGTAAAAGAAAATCAAAGTATGTGGGTCGGACCTCTCTCTTGCCCCGTATAGTAATCAAAGTATGTGGGCTAATACATAATACACAAACAAAAATTTGCGATATCTGACAATGTCATGAGCATTGTCAAATTAGTGTCAATATAAATCAAAGAATTTTAAATCAGATTAATAGAACGTCATTATAATGACGTAAGAACGCCATACTTGACTTGGTCACATTTTTAGGGTGACAAGGTCTCCAATATTTTAACATAGGCAGGCTTAAGGGGTAAAGTGGTCAAATATTTTTACTTGGGCAGGAGTATGGAGTATAGGGAACAAATATTTTTAATGTACATGCTGAAGAGACAGAGGAGCAGTGGCGTACCCAGATATAAATCTTGGGGGATAACAAAATTTAACATGAAACAAATTTTTATTGTACATGTGAGTATTCTATTTTATATAACAAAATCTAGTCGCCTAGGTTTTTTTAGCATTTCATCGATAATTTCATTTCCAGAAATAGGCAACTATCTATGAACAGACATAATTGCTAGTCCATTAAGTCTGTTTGGAGAAGTATAATTTCAAAGATAGGTTCTAATTATTTTTAACGTTGAGAATGTTCTCTCTGGTGTGGCTGTAGAAACTGGTATTGCACAGAATATTAACAACAGTTTGTACACGTTAGGGTAAGCTTGTTGGTTGCATAATTCCAAATGCGCCAAAGCTTGACGCTTACTTTTTATATCGGGATGGTTATTCAGATAATTGTGCCATAATTTAATTTCTGTTTTTAAAATAACTTTAGGCACATCAGGCATATACAAATCTAAAAGTTCATCATAAACATCGCAATCAGTTACTGTTTTTTCTCCCATCAGCAAATACATAAAGCCTTTAAAAATTTGTTTATGATTAGCAAACCTTTCCTCTAACTGACTAATGAAATGATCAGTAAATGGTATATAAATTGCAATCCTAAAATAGTCAATTACTGGTGTTTCTGAATTTTGTATGACAGGATTTATTCGATTTTTTTTTTTCGTGAAACGACTCTTTTCATCTGAATGTTGATGCTAATACTTGAGGTAATAGCCTAAAATTAAAAAAAAATAAATAAAAAATGACATAAACATTTTATATTTTAACTTTTACCTGAGCCTTATTGAAAATCGTATCAAACTGTTCTTAATATCTTGACGTATATCTTCTAAGCAAGAAATTTTGTTTACGGCTTCTCCTAGGTCAGTATCAGCTTTTTGGAGGAAACGACAAAAGGTAAGCCAAAGGTAAATATTTGATTTATGATTTGGAGAGTTACCAGAAAATCGAAATCATTTAGGCTGTTTCGCAATATATTTGCATCTCCAGAATCTTTTCATTCCGATATTTCTTCTAAAATTTTGGCACCGTAACCAAATAATTCCAAAAAATCTTGTACTGCTTCATATTTAGATGTCCAGCGTGTTGCACACAATCGTTTAAGGATTTTTGCGGAAGAATTATTATCACACTCATCAATATTTTTTAAAAGAACATTCTACCTCTTTGGAGTATTAAAGAAATCATATAATTTTTCTATAGTATTGAGAGTTTCTAATTTGCTGAATTTCGCAAGCTTTTGAAATTGCCAAATTCAAAGAGTGGGCAGCACAGTGGACATATATATCGCCTTATGGTAGGTACGACGAATAACCGCCTGAATACCATTAAATTGCCCTGACATATTACTTGCCCCATCGCAACCTTGCCCGACAAGATTGTTGAGATCTAATCCAAATTTCTGTAAATTATAATTAAATTTGACAAACTTTCACCGGTTAAACTTTCTGCTGCAACAAACTGTAAGAAATCTTCGTAGATTTTATTTTCACTGACATATCTTACATGCCTAGAACAATTGAATGAGCTAGGCGAGAAAAATAGAGTTACTCTCACTTGGCTCCGGGACATAACGGGGTACAGGGTAACGAGATTGCAGATAATTTTGCAAGGAAAGGGGCTCAAACACCCTTTGTAGGACCTGAGCCGTTCTGCAGTATCAGCAGTAACATAATTTTAGGAAAGATTAAAAAAGAATTGGGCAGTAGAAGAACCGATAATTGGAACAATCTCTTGGGGCTGAGACAGGCCAAGATACTTATGGGTGAATATAACCAGAAAAGATCGGAAACCTGCATCTGAATGAGCAAGAACAGGCTACGTATTGTAACAGGGATCCTTACCGGGCATTGCCGACTAAAAGAACACCTAAGTAAACTGAGAGTAGTAGAGGATATAGTGAATGCAGATTCTGTGAGGACGAGAACGAAACCTCCACTTACATCCTAACTGAATGTGTAGCACTCCAGAATCCAAGGGCGGAGGATATCAAATATCAAATATCAAATAGAAGAGGAAGATTTACCTAACTTGAAGCCACTTCAAATCCTACACTTCCTTGAGAAAATAGGATTGGAAGGGTCGTTATAGGAATTGAAACATTTCCTTCGTGCATTAGCGACAGAAGGGGGCGCAATAGATCTTTTAGGTCGCAGTATATTAACACCCCATTCCCAACATAACATACAGTTATTTGTTCAGTTGTTGATATATCGGTAGTTTCGTCTACTAGAACAGAAAACGCCCCTGCCTTGTTAATTTTTGAAACCAGTTTATTTAGCATAATAGTATTTATACTACTTATAATTTCATTTTGAATTTTCGGGCTTATATAGGTGGCTCTTTTACTTGATTGTTCAAGTGTTTCTCTTAATTCAGCGTCCCCTTTAGCTCTATATTTTAAAATTGCACGAAACTTTCCTTCTTTTACGGAACTATCATCTATTTTCAGTTCCCCGTAATCTTGATGTCCTCTAAGTGACATTTCCTCCCTACCACATACTAATACAGCTTCTATAATGGGTTTAATTTTAGCTCTATTTTCTACCACCTGTTTTTCTGTTTTCATCTATTAAGTCTATTACATTCTCCTGACCTCCATCTTGAACCTTTTCTAGATTTTCATAAGAAGTAATGGATTGTTTATGAAATTGAGTACTTTGGTGTGAATTAAATATCTACGATAATAAATTACAACTTATAAAATTAAATAAAATTAAATAAATATTTACTTCTTTTGCCTTTTTCCAATTATCCATTTTGGTTTTTACCAAAGCACCCAATGTCTGACTATTAACTCCTCCTGTTGCTGCGAAAAATACACAAAATTTGCAGAATGCACCCTTTTCCTTGGCTGAGTAGACTAGCCAATTAAACTCTGTAAGCCACTTATGTTGAAAGCGAAGTTTTATTTTTTTGGCATTGTACTTGTCAAGTAAAGGAAACGTGTATGTATGTGGTGAAACTCAAAGTGAATTAATAACATTAAGTGTATTTGTGGTTTGTTTGTTGTTCACAAAGTTTCCAATATCATTAGGATATACAGACACACATTCAGCTTGATTTTTACTTGCACAAACTGTTGCTGTTGCATTCGAGGTCAATGAACTGGATGATTCCTTTGCAACAGTTCTCTTTCTTTTTAAGACGTTTGCCAAAGAAGTTTGCTTACTCATAACTAGATTTTTCTGGCAAAACAACACACATTAAAACATAAACAATTCACAATCTATGTTGCGTCAGATACAAAACTGTGAAACACTAAGAAAAATAAAACTTAACTTTAAATTCTGAACTATGCGGCACGCGCTCAAATTGTAAAGTAGTGGTGGTGGTCGTTGGCGTTGGACAGATTTGCAGCGACAGCGAGCACAGGACTACCCCGTACAGGCCGAGAATACCGATCAAGGAGAAGCGACAGCTTGGTGTTTTCAGTGTACCGTTTTGTAACGCGCATGTGCGAAAATAAGTTGTGTATCACTCAAAGTCAGTCCAAGTTGTGTTTAGTACGTGAGCAATGTTAAGTGATATTTTTTGGTGTTTGTTTTCTGTAGTAATAAGATGAAGAATTTTACACACTTAGGTATTCTAATACAGATATAAAATTGCCCAAAAAGTTATTAGGAAACTAAGATTTTTATCACATGCATAAATATTAAGTATAATGATTTAATCATTTTTGACATTTTATTTTTCATATGTAGGTATTGTATTTTGTGAAATAATAGTTTTTCTTCTTTTCAATAAATTTAATAAACAATGAACTGCAAATTTTGTTTATTTTATTTTGAAATTATATTTAAAAAAATATAATAAATTCGCGTGTTTCAATTAGGATTGGTCAGAGTGGGAGAAATCCCTTTATTATGGCTAAATTGTAAGTTACAATTATGTCAATATAAAGATGTTTTGCCCATTCATATTTACATTTATTGAATGAATCATTGGAAATATTGGTGCATACTTAAATAAGTACTATTTCTAAAAATTCGTCTATGCATACATAGTGGACGTCCACTTTAGATCTATTTGAGGGTCAGGACGTCCATATCCGGGCATCCAGTGTACGTCCTTTAATGCTAATTAAATTGACAGCTGAATATCGATACCCAGAGAACGTCTGTTTTTGAACTTAATTTTAAGTTTAGTAGTATTTTGACGTCCAGTGGACGTCCATCTTAGGTCATTATTTATTAAGTCTACCAGATAATACTCATTTATATATACTTATTTTTTTAATATAACTGGTCATTAAAAATTGACAAATTGAATCTATTGCATTTCATTCTATCAGCGGAAGTTTGAAATCTTACTCAATTATAACTGTATCTAGTAAAAAGTTTTCATGTGGTTCCTTGGTCAAGCTCGTCTAGCGATTGAAAGCGTAAAACGATAATGGATGTGTCATGAGTTCGAAGCCTGCTCAGGTCAAGCGATTTTTAATAAAAAATATATAAATGGTGTATAGCGGTTTGCGAAAATAATAAACAAATTATTAATAATATAAAATAGTGTGTGGTGAGTTGCGGTTCTGTAAAAAAAGTGGGGATGTGGTCTCAATGGAAATATAATCCTGGACGTTTTTTGAATGTCCAGTATTCGACGTCCAAATATATTCTAGAATTGAACGTCCTCTGAATGGTCAAAAGTGTGCCATTTGTATACTTCACTGGACGTCCATTGGATGTCGGAAGTCCAGAAAACTCATTTTTGGACGTCTAGACATCCAAAATTGTATATCGAATGGAGTCCAATGGACATATTTGTATTGTCTGGGTGATATCCAGGCCAGGTATTTAACTCTAAATACATAAACCTTAAATGACATCTGGTTTAACTTGGCGCAAAAACACTTGTTTCTACAGAAATGAGTGATAAACTTGAAAGTCCTTTTAATATAATATAAATCTAGAAATTCTGTATACAGATAAGGAAAGTATAGGAATCATGATTTTTTTCGACCTCCAGTTTTCGACGGATTTTTACATTTTGGGGTCCCCTGAATCCGTTTTGACAATTTTCGGGATGATGTCTGTGTGTGTGTGTGCGTGCGTGCGTGCGTGTGTGTGTGTGTGTGTGTGTGTGTGTGTGTGTGTGGGTGCGTGCGTGCGTGCGTGAGTGTGTGTGTGTGTGTGTGTGGGTGCGTGCGTGCGTGCGTGCGTGCGTGCGTGAGTGTGTGTGTGTGTGTGTGTGTGTGTGTGTGTGTGTGTGTGTGTGTGTCTGTATCCACCATAACTCATGAACCGATACAACGAAAAACACCAAATTTTAAACTTAAGCTTTATTCCAGCCTGCGGTGAACTGATTAGATTTTGGGCAGAGTCGGAACATTTGGGGGGGTACTTTATTGGTGGTCATTTTTATATTTTATAAAATATATTCGTTATTTACGTTTTGAGAGGAAAATTTCTCAAATAAAAGTTACTTACAATATTATTGTCTATAATTTTTGTTTTATACAAAATTTTCCTAAAATGGTCCGTATTCGAGAAATTTGACAAAATGTAAAAAAAATATTTTTTTATAAAAATTGTTCAAATAAAAGTTGTTTATAATTTAATTCTCTATAATTTTTATTCAATACATAATTTCTCTGAAATGGACCGTATTCGAGATATTTGAGATAATTTGTAAATTTCGAATTTTGAAGAAAACTCAAAAACGGATAAAGGAAAACACATTAAATTTTATTTTGGCCTGAGGTAAAATGATTAGATTTTGGACGAAGGCGGAGCATTTAGGGGGGTACTTTATGGGAGGCCGTTTTTATATTTTATGGAATATATCTGTTATTGATGTTTGGAGAAGAAAATTGTTCAGATAAAAATTACTAACAATATTATTATCTATAATTTTGGTTTTATACAATTTCTTTTTTAAATGGTCCGTATTCGAGAAATTTGACAAAATGTAATAAAATTAAAATTTTTAGGAAAATTGTTTAAATAAAAGTTATTTGTGATATCGATCTCTATAATTTTTCTAAAAGTGCTAAATTTAAATTTTTCAGTATTTTCGTTTTCAATGAATATCTATAGAAAAATGTTTCGAGTAAGATGTATGTGGAAACTGTATATATTTAGTTTATCCTCTAAACATTTATAGAGGTGCTGCAATAGGTTGTACAAAATAACCGGAAAAAACCTATAATAACTAGATAGGAAAGTTATGTGTTGGACACATCAGATTTTTAAACCTATAAGCTTAGAACATATATGCACATCGCAAATATTTAGTTAAACCTCTCAAACTTAATGTCTTTTTAATTGTTACCTAAATTTTTTTGGCACTCTTAATTTTATTTACCTTATTTTTACTTAAGGAAAAGGTAATTTAAATGTGGGGCTTTTATTAAATTTTTAACAATAAATAAACCAAATATTGAACAAATTTTATAGATAAATTATAAAATAATAAACTTCTTTTATTTTTATAACAAATAATTAATTATTACATAATGAATTATATTTTGGTGCCGAAATTTCACCATTGCTATTAACCCTAACTACTTCAATGTAATTAAATCACATTGCAACATTTGCGCATGGACTATAACAATAATTTCAGATAATTTGTTAAACTGTTTCGCTCAGTGTAGAAAATAAGCATGTTTTCTCAGCGTGCTAAGTTGTGTATCAATCAAAGAGGTTAGAAAGGGTAGAGATAACATAGGAAGCATTTGTCGCTGCGCAAATTTTGTCAAAACCGAAAAACTGGGTGGAAGGAGTAGGGAGATTGTCTGGGCCGGACTTAAATACTTGTATTGTAGTACCTAATTTTGGTAGGTATTTAAAAGATAAAAAATTATGAGACTTTTTTTGACTTTATTTATTAGCACGATTCATTTATAATAAGGGCAATAACACTTTATCAATATAGCTATAGCTAGCTAAGGGTCGATTCCACCGTTGTGTCAAACGAAGTTTAAAATACTAAACGAAGATTAAAATGACATTGTTGATGTAAAAATGTAATTTTAATCTCCATTTAGTAATTTAAACTTCGTTTTTGTTAATATAAAAATGTCATTTTAATCTTCGTTTAGTATTTTAAAATTCGTTTAACAAAACGGCGAATCAAAGTTTATAAAATTATTGTAACAAAATAGCTGTTGAGACAAAAAGTTATCGAAATAGCCAAAGTACTTTTTGCTCGAATTACACACAAGATTTTTTCTACGATTACACCAAAATAAAATAAATAATTAAATTTTATTAGATAAATTATTTATGATTTAATTATTTACGGAAAATACCGTTCAATGATTTAAAATAATAGGAAGTCAAGCTATTTTTGTAACCAGTTACAAAATGCCTTATTTTGTGTAACGAGTAAATAGTAAATGAACGAGTTACACAAAATGGCATTTCGTAACGTGTTTACATACAAGATTTTTTCTAATTTTGACTTGATTATTTATAAAATTGTGTTGAAAAATGATTCACTATCATTCTTTTCAAATATTTCAGAAAATTGTTGTATTTGATTACCCTATGACGTTTTTTTTTTTTCAATAGTAATAATAAAAATAAGGGACATGTGCAGTGTTGCCGATCTTATTTTGGACAT